GATGAATTCTTGTCGTTACTCTTCTCTGCCCCCAAACGCGCGAAAACCGATGATTTGGCTGAAGATGTCTTCAGAGATTCCATTCCAAGCATTGAAATCGTTTGCGAGCCGTTCCTATCGCTCATGTCTTCGTTGAGGTCGTCGTCATCTGCGGACACAACTCTCCTAATCTTCGGGTTCGTAGTCCTAATCAATCCCGACGTCTGCGCCGATCGCTTCATGTTTGATGAGTTTTGTGTCGCCTCTTGAGGAGTGATTGTCTTAAACCTGTTGTTCAGCGGTTGTGTCACTTGTTTATTGGTGGCCACTGTTGGTCGAGTCGGTGCCGACTTTGCGGACGAGTTGCCAGTTCGCGGACCCAGCAGTTGGTCGCACGTGTTGTGGTGGTCCACACTCTTGGCGTGTCTTAAGATGGCGATGACATCACCCATGGTTTTGATGCCCATATCGTAGAGGATTTCTTTGGTTAAGTCGCTTAACATATCATTTTGGATGCGATGGGATGTGAAGATAATGGCATAATTGGTGGCAACACTCGATGGGAGTCCGGAGTCATTGAAGAACTTAAGCCACCGATTGGTGGTATTGGTCTTCGTGTCGGACATCGTCTGCAAAAGTGATGATAATTGAAGACTAAACCCAATGTCTGCACGAAAACAGTGTTTGGCTTTTGAATGGAAAATGTCTTTCAATGCATTCACTGTTGTGTTCACTCTATTGCCATCTCTCGGCTCACAATCACTTCATTTCACAACTTATTGTTTGACAAAAGTTTCTAAATTCAAATCCAATTCAAATGATAAGTTTGTCACATTTAGTGATTTATTGAGACAATCATTGGCCGCAGACATGAATCAGATGGAAGTGATGTTGAATTGGTTTGTGTGGACATCGAGTCTTGGATTCGCTTTGTATTCATTCATATCTGACTCGAAATGTAAGCATTTTTGACACAAACTATGCAAACATTTTGATCACTAAATGATTACAAACTTTAGATTTGATTGAATTAATTGATGCCAAAGACGTGACCAAAGGATGGCTATTGGATGGACCACAAGACGTGTCCGACTATGAGTGGAATGCCATCAGACATACCTTCAGACAACACTTCATTCATATCATTATTTATTTAGTTTTAACACAACTTTTCATTAAATACAAGATTAAAGTAATGTCTTATCACTCCATTAGTTACCATTTAATTAACTCATTATCTGATCCATTAATTCCAGTATTTGTCACACTTTTTCGTTATCTATTCCTCGATTGCCATAATAGTTGTCTTAAACGTGAAGACATTAATAGTTGTTTGGATCAATATATTGCTATCACTTGTAATCCATTCAATTGGTAACCAATATCTCTGTTATTCACTGTTTGTCTTCACGTTATATTCAGTCCACAATCCATTCGTTTCCATAAAGTCTTCTGAATCAGATGGAAGTGATGTTGAATTGGTTTGTGTGGACATCGAGTCTTGGATTCGCTTTGTATTCATTCATATCTGACTCGAAATGTAAGCATTTTTGACACAAACTATGCAAACATTTTGATCACCAAATGATTACAAACTTTAGATTTGATTGAATTAATTGATGCCAAAGACGTGACTAAAGGATGGCTATTGGATGGACCACAAGACGTGTCCGACTATGAGTGGAATGCCATCAGACATACCTTCAAACAACACTTCTTTCATATCATTATTTATTTAGTTTTAACACAACTTTTCATTAAATACAAGATTAAAGTAATATCTAATCACTCCATTAGTTACCATTTAATTAACTCATTATCTGATCCATTAATTCCAGTATTTGTCACACTTTTTCGTTATCTATTCCTCGATTGCCATAATAGTTGTCTTAAACGTGAAGACATTACATCAACAAACCTAGTTATATAACGATAGTGAACATTAGGTAAGTTAACCATTGGTTATAGAGACAATAAGTGACAAACAGAAGTGCAATATAAGTCAGGTGTTAGGTAAGCAAAGGTATTTCAGAAGACTAGAGTTGAACGAAACGCAACTATTTTTGTTTGAAGTCTGTATGGCATGGCTTAACGCCAAGTGCTTAAGCCTTTCCATCGATCGGATTCGCAGTCAAATCCACCGAACGTTTTATTTCACTCAACTGATCCAATGTGTGGCGTATTGTCTATATCTGCCCGCATTCTTCACGGGACCCATTCATCAGTACAACACTTTCATCAGTGATGTGAGGAATAAGTCTATTATCGTTTAATCCAAAATAAAATAACTTTAATGTAATTGTTTTACATTCAGATGAATACACTGGAGTGGAAGTGGACATCAAATCGTGTGATGGAAGTAATGAAACAATTACTTCGATTCACTTTCTGGTCGTTTGTCTTTGAATTGATGTTACATTTGGTGTTTTCCCAATCCATCCAATTCTACCCAGAATTGACGCAAATGTTGAGCGTTTGGTCGTTGTGTGGGTTAGGGTTCGCACTGCCGCTCATGTTCTTCGTTAAGTACTTCATAATCTACGGCTCAGTGGCCACTATAGCGGCCATCGATGGCTTCCGGATGCCGGTGCCGCCCAAATGTATCAGTCGTATCCACTCGTGTGTCTATTTGTGGCGGACCTTCGATCGCGGACTACACTTATGGCTCACAAAGTATTTAACAAAACAATGTTTGAAGAAAATCTCAATTTTAATTGCAATTATTGTTCAGTTATTTTTATAAACCAATAATCGGTACGCAATGGAATCCAATGCGAAAAGTTTTCGCTGGTTTTGTGTGCTTTCTGTGCATCTGTTTATGGCATGGCATGGATCGGGCGGTCGTCGTCTGGACGTCCCTTAACTTCTTCGGAGTTTCGGCCGAAATAATCGCCAAATCTATTCACTCATCCAATCATTGGAGTTTTGTTACAGTAAATGAACTTAAGTTTTATATTTGATTTGATTTTCATATAAACTCTCATTTTTCAGAGCAATTTGTCCTCGGAGGGAAACACACGACTCAATGCACTGATCGCCTGTCCCTTCTTCGCCATAGCCTATGCCTCAAACATATTCTTTCTGTCCAATTGGGACGTCGGCTACTATTTTGTCAAAACACTACTCCTCTCATTCCCCACACCATTACTGCCAACCCTTTTGGTCATGTATTTCGGGTGTCATGTGTCCATACATTGCATGCGATCCGAGACCACCACTTGATTCACACAAATGTCACATTCATTCTCATTGTATAAACATTTCATTTTTATTTGATATATATTTATAAATCTCATAACAAATGGATATAAAAATAAGTCAATTATGAAACCATAACGAGTCGCGCCGTACCGTCCATTACACTCTGCAACACAAATGCAATCAATTGAATGCGAGACAAGTGGTGGACACAAATCACATACCTTTCCATCGGATGTGAAGCAAACGTATTTGCATTCAATGAACACCTTTCGGATGTCAATGACAGTGACCTCAGCGCACACTTCTTCGCCCACATGTACTGCCAGTGAAGGCATCAAAAGACATATGATTTAGTCATTGAAACTACTGATCAGTAAATGGTTGCATATATTACGGGGTTTAGTGAAGTGAATGGTTTGGTTGACGACAACAGCTCCGGGACCGGGCAGTAGTGTCCCGAAGACGGCTGACACCAATCTGTCACCACATGGATGGACAACACATTGAGACAATGGTCGCTCACATCACTGTAAATGCCTAAAGTTATGGGTAACCACTCGTAGGGCACCTGATATCCAGACCTTTTGAACCAAACGCTCGTTATGAACAGTAGGTTTACTTACCCTAACATTAGTGGCGACTCAGCTCGCTTGAGAACCTGCAGGAGTGAGGTAAACGTTTTGGACAATTGAGCCGAAGATCCAACCCTTATGTCACTCACGCCTCTCACGAACAGCCCATTCGTCGCCACAAAACTGTTTCCCAAACTTTTTGATGACAATAACCTCAACGAAGAACTCAACAAACCATACATTTCTCATTCAATACACAATTGAAGACTTTAATGCATTAATTGAGTCAATGATTAACACATAAATCAATTCAATTGAACACTAATTGTATTTGAAAACACAATCAAAAAGTTCAATAAAGTCTTCATTTGAATGCAAGTTTGCATTCAATGTAAACATACATTACGTAAGGCATGGGAGGGAAGGGCAGTGGTTGGGAAGCCCCCGTTTTCTTCCGTTGGGTGTGGAATACCCCGGTATCTACCTTCACAGTTATTTGTCATAAGCTCCGGATTTGGGGGCCGCGACAGATTTCCCCCGGAAGGGACTTTGGGACAGAGTTGGCACGGGCCAAAGTGTGCAAACGGGAGACATATGTGAGAGACTGATAGTGACACCTACTGAGCAGATCTGCTGTGCTATTGCTAGCGATCGGATGTTCAGACGTGTCGATACAGACACACACTTCCAACCCATACACCACTTCACAGCCTTATATACCCCTCAATGCGGAACACATTCAACCGTTACAGCCCTCAACACACGAACCGCACTTATTCACTACTATTACAGCAATTAATTGTGTTTAATTCACTATCAAACCATTTATAAGCATTTATTACACAGAATTATATGTTAAATAAACTCATTTTAATGACAATTAGTTTGAATACAATGAAAATGTAAGTCTCGGTAGAGTTTGCATAAAAGCATTGCCTTTTAAACATAGCGTTGAGAATCATGTGATCATTGGTTTGTTATGTNTATATGTTAAATAAACTCATTTTAATGACAATTAGTTTGAATACAATGAAAATGTAAGTCTCGGTAGAGTTTGCATAAAAGCATTGCCTTTTAAACATAGCGTTGAGAATCATGTGATCATTGGTTTGTTATGTCATGTGAAATGCCTTTAATTGTAATCACATTTCAATGATTATCGCTTACAATGAGTTATCAAAGACATGAAACCCATGAAGAATACGACGAAACGAATGAGGAATACGAGGACAACGAACACTCACCAGAANTATGAAATGCCTTTAATTGTAATCACATTTCAATGATTATCGCTTACAATGAGTTATCAAAGACATGAAACCCATGAAGAATACGACGAAACGAATGAGGAATACGAGGACAACGAACACTCACCAGAAGAAGCCGAAGAACCTGAGGATCCCAATGAAGATGCCATACGTTTAGGTATTTTGAGAGAATTTGTATGAAATGTTGAAATAAATGAATGAATGGTTTGATTGAACGGATGGTTAGGTATATCTCAGACACCATTTGAAGAGTTGCTTAAATTGAGTGACAAATTGGGGACAAAACGATATAACGAGACAATTGTCAGCAAATTAAGCAAAAATGTGGTCCAAAACAAGAGGGGAAGGGATGGGAACCAATTCAAGAGAGCCAACAAGAATAGGCCACAAGAGATATCATCGAAAAAAGCGGTCCAACAGTTGCGAGAAGTGTTTCAGACGAAGAAGAAGACAGAGATCGAGAGAAGAGATCCGCGTTTCGAAGAAGGAAGCGGTCGTTACTCCGAGAGTGTGTTCAATAAGACCTATGATTTTCTCAATGATATCAGAAATAAAGAGATGAAGGAATTGAAGAAAATGTTGAAAAAGACTAAAAGCGATGACAAGAGACAGGAATTGCAGTATTTGTTGCAACGGATGACTAATCAAAGAACTTCTGAACAAATGAAGCAAAAGAGGAAACAATTGGAGACTAATGTGAGAAACAAATTGAGTGAAGAGATGGGAAGTACTGACAAGAAGAGCAAGACTTTCGTCAATAAATGTAAGTTTTGTTTTCGTTTTACACGACTTTTATCATATGAATTGGATATTAATTACTGAATGGATTTGTCATTTAAAGCAACGCTTAAACGGTTAGAATTAGTGGAGAAATACAAAGAACTGAAGAAATCGGGAAAATTGAGACAATATTTGGAGAAAAAGCGAAAACGAAATGCCGGTCGAGAGAGAAAGAAAATGCCATCCAATAAGTCACACAATCATTGATCCATTAATTCATTATTCAAAATGTATTTAAATTTTTATTGACTTTAAAATTGATAATAAATTTCTAACAAAACGATGACAACTAATGGATAACTAGACACACGTAATGAGGACATGATAGGTACCGGCGCTCAACCGGTTCTCAACATCTTTGCCTGTCGTTTATCTTCGAGTTCTTTGAGTTGTCTCTCAACTGTTCGTTTGCGCTCTTCTAAGAACTCTTTGTATTCGTTTGCATCCAAAGTGTAGACAATTTTAATGCCGCAAGTCTTGGCCGCTTCGATGATGTCTTCACAGATCTTGTGGAGGGGAACGCAATCATACATCGGGTCCTCACTCTTGACTTTCGCGATTTCATAGACGTGTTTGACAGTCAGATAACCGGCCGTTTCGTCCCTGGTATTCATGGCTCCCCTCTCACAGCCAGACGCCTGTCGGATGAAATACGTGAGCGGAGGCACTCGGATCACCAGATTGTAGCTCCTGTCCGCCTAATACACCACAAACACCAACATATCAATCATGTCTGTTCACCACGGATGCAATCAAGTGATACATACATTGATGGATATATTGCAAGGCAGGGGAACACCAGGTTTGATATGTTTGGTCCTCTCATTGAAGTCTTTGCAAAACTGTGCGATATTTATGCCACGCTTTGGATAATCACATCATTAGATCAGTCTAAGCATTGACCATCACTTGCGTACATACCTGTCCTAATTGGGGGCCCAGAGGTGGTCCGGGATGTGCCAAACCGGCAGATATCCATAGACCGTCTCCACAGCTCACCTAGTGGAAAAGATGTCGAAAGAATGGCCGAAAATTAAATCTGTATTAAACATACTATTGACATTAATGTTAATCAAAAGTTAAGTTTACAAAACGTAAACAAATAGTTTTGACGAGTCAATGCTTAACCGATACATCAATACTGTTATGAAACCATTATATCATAAACTGTTCCCTATTTTCTAAGTCATTATTTTATGCAAATATGTCTCGCAATTAATTATATTTTATCCATAATATTATATTAATAGTTAATTAATTGTCCACAAATTAGCATACAGTCATATGGTTTTATTTATACATTTTTCTAGCAATTTAACGATTAAATCAAAAGTTTATGAATTGATAAGTTTATTGGAAAAAAAACTAATGAAAGTTTGTCCGAAAAACCTAAAAAGATGTGTTTTTATTGTGTTATATATTTGTGTTAAATTTGATTGACTGTATGGACGACACAGTGAACTGATTTAAGGATTAGACTATAATTAGTTAATCCGATTGAGACCTCAAAATAGTGTTCATAACGTAAAGTGAATGCAATCCCAAAATGCATGCAATGGTCGTACAGATGTCTCCACTGTCGACCCCTTTCCGATAGACAGCCCTTTCCTATCGTATCGCCATTTGTGTGGACACGAGTTAACACTAATTGTATTAATTATTGTAAGTATTTATTAATTCAATTCATATTTTATGTAAATTTCCACAAAATTAGTTCATTTAATACAATGTCCACGAAATGAGTGCCAAATTGGTGCCATTGATAGCACTGATAGGCCTTATAACCGGTGTATGACTTGACACACATGTGACACGTGTTTTGCATATTGTGTTGAATTGAGTGTTAAATTGATTTAAATTGTTATTTATTTGAATACAGAGTAAACCGAAACTCGAAAGACATCATCGAAATGGTGGCCGAAAAGAAGTCGAAGAAGACATTGGAGAGTATTAACTCCCGATTGGCTTTAGTCATGAAGTCCGGGAAATACAGTTTCGGTTACAAACAGACCCTGAAAACGCTTCGTTTGGTATGCGGTGACCATTGAGATGATAATTGATTAGGTTTTAAGACATGATATGATTGCTCATAATCAGGGTAAAGCCAAACTGGTGATCATCGCCAACAATACTCCACCGCTGAGGAAGTCTGAGATCGAGTACTACGCGATGTTAGCCAAGACAGGGGTTCACCACTACTCGGGAAACAACATTGAGTTGGGAACCGCTTGTGGCAAATACTACAGAGTCTGCTCCCTTTCCATCACAGATCCCGGGGATTCAGATATTATCAAAAGCATGCCTTCGGAACAACAATAAATGCTTTGATTTTGTAAAAATTTGGTTATATTTAACATAACTTTCATTTATTTGAGTTAATAAAAGGCTGTGAAATCGATAACTGATTGATGACTACTTTTATTTCATAATTAATTGCTTATAATAATTAGACCATTCAATGAATACTTTGTACCGCTAGAATATTTTGTTTCCATTACTGTTACTGTAGAATATTTTAAGTAAGGTTTTTTTACTGGTAGTGTATCTAGTTATCTAGGTTAAACAATGTAAGGAATTTTATGGCATTGGAGATTATTCTAAATGTTGCAATAGTTTACAGAAAATAGCCAAAAATAGTCTTGATATGGTTTCTAATGAATACTTTAATTTCAATTGTTTACTTCCTATTTACGATAAACTGTTTAAATATTTGCCGCAAGAATTGATAGAATGGGAAGAGTTGTGTCCAGTGAGTGAATAGAGGGTCTGAGTGTTGGACTTAAGTTGACCCAAATGTTGGTGCCATATAGGGGTCAAGTGTAACTAAACCAACAAAAAATAGATTAATCCATTCATTAACTCTTTTACAGTTATTTTCATTTCATTTGAAGGCCTACTGACCAACAATTTGTTTAATGAAATCTGTTTACTCTATTTATGGGAAAGTTTCTCACTTTCCAATCACTTTCTCGTCTGATATAAAAAGAGACAAAAATCAATGATTCCATCAGTTATTGAACAGACATCTCACTTGAAGTGACCGTTTCCTTCATTTAGAGTTACGAATAATTTGTTAAAATGAATCAAAAGTTTTTAGTATTGTTTGCTATCGTGTGTTCAGTGTCTCAACTGATGACAACTGTCCACTGTGTCAACCCGATAGGTATTGTCCATTGGGGCAAAAAGGGAGTCGTCGCTGGTGTCCATAAATCAGTTGCTGCGGCCAAAGGTATCGGCGCCGGTCTTAAGGCTCATTCTGTCAAATCATCGATTATAGGCGTCAAGAAAGCACTTCTCTTGGCACCCCTGGCCATCGGTATGTATTTAACTGTATTTAAGTTTTTAGTTTTTTAATTAATTAAAAAACATTATTTTGTTAAAAGGAGGAAAAGCTTTGTTAGCGGCAAAACTGGCTGTTCCGATGGGCATAGGCGCTGCTGTTGGAGCACCTATTGGTGCTTTGATTGGCGCAAAGGCCGGTGCTCTCAAAGGTGCTCTCATCGGAAAAGCATTGATTGCGGCTAAACTGGCGTTGGCTAAGAAAGTAGCCGTCAAAGCAACCGCTGTGGCCGTCGCACCCGTTGTGGTCGCCGCCGGACTCAAAGCTAAAGTAAGCATTCATTTGTTGATTATAGTGTTTATTTGTTCGCAATATAACGAGTATAATATTGTCTTATAGTTGGCCGGTCATGGACTTGGATTGGTTGGAAAGGGTGTGTCCGCGTTTGGATCTGTGGTCACAAAGGCTGGCGATCACATTAAGTCTGCTTCTCATAAAATCAGTGGTTTCACATCGACTCTTCAAAATAAGTTGACTCTTCCCACTCTTTCATTGCCTCAATTGCCTGCACTTCCAGTCCTGGAGACTAAGAGCTACCACAAGGGACCCACTTCTGTCGAGTACTCTTTGGTGTAAGTATTTAGTCGTTTATAAAATATCTGGACACAAATTGTATGCTTGTATGGCATATAGAATGAATGGTCCGCACACTGGATATCAGTCCAAAAAAGGAAGTTTCTATTCGTCGACCGCTTATAGAAAGCGAAGGGAAGCGAATCCGGAGGCCGAGCCCGAGCCTCAACCACAGGCACAGAACGCCCAGCAATTGCTTCAACTCGTCAGATCCCAAAACGCTCAGCAATGCCTTCAAAGGGTTATCTGCGAACTCACCGCTAATCCCAATTCTCACGGAAATGATGGCGTCAGATTTGGAAGAAGTCTTATGTAAGCCTTTCATTAATAGTTGACAACAATTTTACAAATTCTAATATTTTTAAAACAATTTTTCAATAGTTTACTCGAATCTCAAACGGACAGACAGTCTGCCCAACAGTACAGACAGGCGGCCACTACTGGCTCTCAAGTGCAAAACGAGCAGTTCTGCCAACAATTCTTCCCTTCCTGTGCCTTTCAATCCGACGAAATCATTAGACTCGGAAACCAAATGATCACCGGTTGAGAGGAGTCGGCATTTTTATTCACTTTCATTAGATTTATTAAATTATAATTAAATTCATTTAAAAAATTAATTCATTAATTCAATTGTCAGTTAAATAGAAATATTAATGAAAATAAAATAAAGTTTTATACAAATAATATACTGTCTTTTTAATTGTTTGTTGAATTTGATGTCTATTTTCAAGTGCAACAGAATATGGAATTTTACTATTAATACTGATTAGTGTCAAATAGTTGGGTCATCTCTAATGGGAATAAAGCTCATTGATATCCGTATTGAAAATCATTGTTAGTTTACAATTTCAGTTAACTCTTTGTCATTGAAATTGTTTTCACTACTTGTTTTGATGATAGTTTAATTAAAAATGTTATTAAATATAATTTTCATAATAATATGTTTTCTGTCTCTATGTGTGAAGCCCTCTGAATGTGTGTTTCTGCCGGGAATAATGTTCCCCCTATTGATAGGAAGGGGATCTCTGTATGGCATCTTTGGACTGATAGGAGTGGGAATGTGTTATATTCTGGCCGTCCTTTCGCTCTCGAGTATTGATTATCTTCACAAACGAAGGCGAGACAACTTCAACAGAATTCAAACTCTTAGAAACAATCTAATGAATAGATCTTTAATGACACCAATCGATGACTACGACTATATGTTTCGACAAATGCAAGAACAAGAATATTATGATCCCATGGATGACAACAATTATGACGAGAGAGATAATCTCCAACTCTACTATCAATCACCTCAGCCTTCAGACACACCAAACCCTCAGCCATACACAGACAATAGCTATAATAGATTTCCATATAATCCTCAATTCAGTCCTCAATACCCACGACCATACAGACGTCGATACAAATATCAACCAAACAGTTATTATCAAAACCGAAATCCAGATCTTTATGTGGAATCGTCGGCATTGCGTTATATAAGACGACAACCACTTCACAGACACTTCTTGAGAAGAGTCAGAAGAATGATTAAGACCAACAAATATCTTCAGAATCTTAAGTTTCAAACCTTTTTGTTATCTTTTAATAAAAATAGTTTTAAACGTCAATTTATTTTCAAACAACTCAGATATAAATTTGAAAAAATTTAATTAATTGAGAATATCATACATTTCCTACTGAAATGTATTTTGAGTTTTTTATTGGAATAATAAAACATTTTAAATTGCATTTAAAAATAAAAACCATTCTTTTTATTAACAGATTTAAAATCTGAGTCTAATTTAAGAATATTTTGTTTAATTTTACAATTTTATTGAAACGATTGGGTATTTTAACTACTCTTTCATCGGTTCCGCTTCTTTTGATTGAATCGCTTCTTCTCTTTCTTTTTCGTCGTTTGTCTCTTATATCCATTTCTGCCTCCAAATCGTCATAATCTAAGATTTCGTCCAAATCTTCCTGTTCTTGTAGAGGAGTTATACTTTTTATGCCTGTAGTGCGGAATTTGTGAAAATAATTGCGTTCAAATAAACAAAACTAATTCTTATTATAAAATATTTTTAATTAGACATACCTTTGCCGACGTAATCCTGTCCAAGTAATCGCATAATTTGTGTCCAAATTACAAGCTTTAGGACTAAGATCTGAATGAGTGCTAAATATTGGCCCACATTTGGCAGTAGTATAGCACTCGTAGGCAGAATTTGACGCTTTTGTCGCCAGTTATCTACAAATTGTATACAATATTCATACCATTACTTCAACGTTAATATCAATTATTTATGAATTAATTCTTTAATTGTGAAGTAATTTAAAAAGAATTATAGTTTAAGATAACAATTCATACGCTCAGAGTGGTAGTCATTTGTCTGTCTTATCGATAAACAGAATATTTGACTAAAGTAATGACAAAAAATAATTATTTGTAAAACAAAACTCATTAACTTTTTATTTTCATATCTCATTGTTTTAAACTCGAAAAAAATGTTAAGAAAAAGTGAATATTTTTCGCTCAACTGATTTATAAAACTCTATTTTTATATCTAAAACAAATACTTCCTGTTTGTAGTAATAATTGGAGAGTTTTTGGATAGACTTGGATAGCGTCCAGCAGTTAAGCCTTTTTAAGATCAATAAAATTTCAATTTCATGGATTCATAAGATTTTGTTTTATTTAAGTTACTGTCAAAACATTGACCCGAAGTGGAAGTAATCAAAACCAGAGCTTAATATTAGGCATAAGACAAGCATTTTATTCTTTATTTCCTATTTTCAAATATTTTAGTCATTCATGTTTTTGATTTATCATTACATTTCAGATTTTTATCGTTTAATAAATAAAATTTCAAACAAAAATATACAAAACATGAAAATATCTCATTTTATTTTGTTTTTCATAATAACTGTAATTATATGGTCTCCCATTCGCTGTGTATCCACAATAACCCCTTTATATTGGTTTGAAAGTCGTAAGAACCCGTCGATTATCTATTAAAATACACTATTATTTAGAAAAATATTTTTGTAATAAATTTTCACAGAACCTAACGAACCAAACAATAAAACTCTTTCTATGATTACAACCACTGAAACAATAGCTTTGGACTCAACTCAAGCCACTGATGAGATATCTGAACCAAACAGTCCAACGCCAGTATTCGCACCACTTTTCCAATCAAATCAGTTATTAAGTCATTCTAATAGACAAAGACAGTCGTTATCTTCGGCACAACTTCGAGTTGCCATCAAAAGAGATGACTTAAGATTAGAGTCACTTTATTATCCCTTCAAAGCAACTCATTCTAAGTCTCATCCAATTGATCCAAAAGCAACTATTTCTGTATCAGATCTGCAGTTTAGTCGAAGAATTGGAGAATTGATTGAAACCTCAACTCATAGTATGGTTATGAAAGAAACACAAGATATGGTCATAAAAGGGTCTCATAATCCAGGGAATGTCAACTCAACGCATGCTATCAATATAATTAATGACATCAAACAAATCATAGATAATCAAAGAAATGATTCAAAACTTAAAACTGAAGAGACGGTGACAACATCGCCAACGCCTGTGTATAAGAGTGTGTCGACCACTGACAGCACCGAAGAAGTGATTGCGTCGACAATAACACCGAAACCAATATATCTTCACAACCAAGAGTTCACACAAATACCTAATAATATGTGGTATAATAAGCCATCGGAAATGCTTGAGTCAGATAACAATTACAAGACATCAACTATTGAAACGGTTAATGTTAATGATAATTATAATGACAAGTATGACAATAATGCATACAATGATAATTCAATGGACAAACCGTATGACAATTACTACGAGGATAAGAAGCCAATCAATGAAAATAGTTATTACAAACAAACGCCTGATTACTCGGATTTAGATAATAACGGGACGGATGAGAACGGAGATAACGAAGAGGTGAGGACAGGCACGTGGTTGGGGCCGGGAATTGCAGGTCTTATCATTGGTATTATACCACTCACTACACTCATCGCATCACTAATCCCTGCCTTCACTACCGTTCCTGTCATCAGTACCTCTCCCTTCAGCCGGCGGACAGGAAGTCACGTCTCGGACTCAACTTCACACCAAAGCACTCATGAAATAGTCAAACAAATCAATAAATTTGAGAAACGACTTCAACAAAAGTCGGATCGCTTTTGACTTATTTAGAAAACTTTTTTAAAAATACTATTAAACCAATAATTTATATTCAATAAGACCTAAAACATGAAATATGTTGTAAAATAAATGTGATATATATTTAATACGATTATTGCTTATTATCATATTATAGTGATTTGCCATTGATTTAGTATTGAATGCCATAAAACATAATAACTGTCAAAATACTGAACCTCTTAGTCCTATGTCTTGAAAACTCTACAAATGAGAAGAAAACATATAATTATTGGATATTTTTCTTAATCCAATTAATTACATAACAAAACGACGTGTCATTAAAACCAGTAAAAAAGTATTGAATTGCACTTTAAAATAAAAACACATTAACGGATATAATTTATGTTTTAATGCTTTCATAATTAGAGGTTTGAATAGGTATTTCTCATCTCATTATCTGAACATTTATGGCTTTTATTTTATAATATTGTTATGAATTATATTAATATTTTATTTATTTACTTCTAATTAAAATAAACTACCTTTAGAGCCATTCAGATTACAGTTATATAATATCGTGTATGATATGAAAATTCATTGCTTTTTATTGCTTTTGAAATTTTTTATTGCTTTTCAATTTAACAAACATTTATGGAAAATAATAATAATAATAAATACAGATTATGAATGATTAGCGCATACACTGACTATAGTTTGCATATTTAGCTGACATTTAATAATTCATTTTCTTTGATGCTATTTATAATCAAATGTTAAAATTGAATCATATTTTAGTTTTTTGATAGCATCTCATCTCAATGTTCAGACACTTTATTACAAATATCTAATCGATTAGCTCTTAGTTTATAATTCCGATGAAATAGAGGCCCAACAAATAAAAGGTAATATAAAAATTAATAAATTAATATAAAAAACTTTAGTTTTCTTGTTTTGTCTGCATTTCTCATTTCTCGGAGACTCTCGGGAGTCAATGACTTGGAGTGTAAGGCCAGACATTAGAGCCCCGTATAAGTGGATTACAGAGCACTGAGTATGCAATGAATGACCAATTGTTTATTACAATCATTATGACGCCTATAATGCCATCAAATAAATGCTGTAATTGTAAAATTAATAAATTTAATACAAAAAACAACAACAAATGGCGTATAAAACAAAGAAGAAGAAGACGTCGGGAAAATCAATCATTACATTCATTGGGAAACTATGTGCACAACAGGTCTTTAGTCACTTTAAGAGCAATGGAGTAACGATTCATTTCAATCACTTATATACACCGCAAACACTATTGTCGGTCGAGAAAAAATGCTGAACTTTTTTTTGTGTTCAATTTTTTGACAAACAATTTGAGAACAATTTAAAAGTTCATATTTTTATTTAAGTAAAGAGTGGATTAAAACTGGTTTTCGATTCATAAAAACAAGACTTTAATTATTAATGCTCTTTGTTTTGCCCAAAAATATATAATTTGAATACAATTTTTCTTTTTCTTATTTATATGAAAAACAAAAACTAAAATTAAACACTACTATAGTATAGCCGGAAAATATATATTAGTTGTGTTGATATAAATATGTTATTAAAATAAACTAAAATCTAAAGTAAAATATAAATGTAAAGATAAAAAGCATTTAAGAACTGCTTTTGGGATCAAATCTATCCATCATTGGAGCGAACATTTCCATCGGATTATTGTAATACATATTATTAAGCATTTGTGCGAACTCTTGGTTGTGAAGATATATTGGTTTCGGTGTTATTGTCGACGCAATCACTTCTTCGGTGCTGTCAGTGGTCGACACACTCTTATACACAGGCGTTGGCGATGTTGTCATCATCTCCTCAATCTCTAGCTTCGAGTCATTTCTTGAATTCTCTATTTCTTTGCCGTCAGTTTTCAGACTAATATTATGCATAGAGTTGTCTGTCGACGGCTTGTCATCCAATGTATTATTAACCTCTTTGTTGACCACATCTTGGGTTTCATTCATAACTAGACGACGAGTGGAACTCTCGAGTAATTCTCCTATTCTTCGGTTTAACTGTAGATTTGAGAGTGAATTTTGGGGATGAATTGCATGAAACTTGGATGGAGTCAATTTGAACGGATAATGAAGTGGATCTAATCCGAAGCGATTTGTTTTGATGGGAACTCCCAGTTGTGCCAAAGATAACGGCTCTCTTTGTCTATCAGGAGGACTGAATGCTAGACTCGACTCCAATGGCTGTGGAAATAGTGGTAATCGACTGTTTGTCGGAGATATCGCTTCAATGACTTGAGTTGTGGATAAAGTCATTGTCTCAACGAATGGATTGACAGAAAGAGTTTCATTTTCTGGAGCTTTTGGTTCTGTAGAAATTGTTAACAAAATATGTATTCAAATGACTTTAACAGTCGGTCTCATAAAATAAATAATCATTTCTTACGGTTTCGAAACCAATTTAATGGGTTCCTAATGAACATGCAGTGAATGGACGGCCAGATAATTGCAATGAAAAAGAAAACTATTTGAAAGAATTTCATATTTTACTTGTTTTTCAATTGACTCGATTTAATAAAAGACAAAACTTAAATGAAATGATAAATTAAAGAAATAAATCAGTTATTTATTTGAAAATAGGAAATAAAAATGTGAAAAGGATTTCAATAAAAACTAGGATATGATTTATTAGTCTTAATGAACGTATTAAAGGGTAAAAGGCTTATCAGTGACCGATTTGGTCAATACATTATAGG